ATATTGGCCGAACTACCTGGATGCACGAGTACCCGTTTTATCTGAAATGAATTTATAAGAAAGGAGATTACCAGGGCGTCGTTAAGGGTTTGGGATAGGGCCTCGGTGTCTTCCTTGCTGAACGTGAGGGCGTCTTCTGGGATATATCCCCGAGTCCGTTTTTCCCTGGTGATGGTTATCTTGGTTCTTCTCACTACCGGTTCCTGCGGGGCATCGGCGCCCCCCATGATCGTGTGGATGACATGTTGTGGTTCGTTTGTCTCGTTTTTCTTGATCGCCTCCCTTTCTTGGAATTGATTTTTGGCCCGATCGCTGAAAAATTACCGGAGATGCCCTTTGTTGAGTAGTCGAGCCACCTCCTCTCGTAGTTGATGGCAGTCCTCGGTCCTATGACCGTGCGTGTTGTGAAACTCGCATACTAGGTTGTAGTTTCTCTGCGAAGGGTCTGTCTGTATCGGTTTGGGCCACTTGGCGTCCCTGATCTTGCCGATAGCGAACACGATGTCTGAAACATCGACGCAGAAGTTGTATTCCGATAAGTGGGGCGCGTTAGCTGGTGCTATGTTTCTATCGACCCTGGTTTTGTTGATGAGTCCTCGAGGGTCCTGTCCTCGATCTATCCTTCGATCGTTGCGAGGTAGGTTGCGTCTTGGGACGTTCCTCCTGTCTTCGAGGTACGGCTGGTACCTTTCTTTGTTTGGCCTCCGACTCGTCAGTTTCCGCCGCTGCTGCTTTGAAGACATCGACGTATGTTTCTGTGGTGGGGTAAACTTGAAAGTCGCAGTTTTTCTTCGTGTATGCGTGAGCGGTGGTGCGCTTATCGGGGGAAGCTGTCTCCGGTGTCGCTACGCTGGGGGTCCCCGGATGGTTTTGCAACTGAGCAACGGCCAGCTGTTGTGCCTGCAACATTTCAAAATATCGTGAAGACTAACTTCCTGTTCTTCCCGGGCCGGGGTTTTTCGAACTTCCTGTCGGTCACTGTGCCGCATTCTTCTGTCGGCGTGAGAAGTTTCGTTGATTTGCTGTGCGTCCTGTGAGTCCGCGTCTGCTAGTATTGGTCCGGGTGCGTTATCGGGATCCTATAGTGATGCTCCACGGTCGGGATAGCTACACCATTTTCCCCGTGATCTTCGAGGCGGTCGTTCTCAGCTCTGTTCACCGAGCCAGGATTTTTACCTGAAATTAAAGGATCTTGGACAAGAAAAAGTGTGAAAGATGGTATGCGTTTGTGTAATGAAACTAACAAGAAAATAATCACTATTATTTTTAGCCCCACGGTGGGCGCCAAACTGTTTACCGTGAAAATAGTAACAACAATTAAATTATTAAATGGGACTCTAAAAATACGTGATCTATTCCCAAGCTAGTTTGTTAGAGCACATGATGCTAGTATTATGAATTTTAAGGATGGGGGGGGGGGGGGAGTTAAACGAGGTAACGAGCGGACCAAAGGGTCTGCTACCCGGGCATAAGCTTGGTCGATTGGGACTTCGAGGTCGACCTCAGGGTCGAGCTCGGGTTGTCGGGGATACTCGGGAGTAATCTAACAGCTAGAAATATAATCGAACGAAGCTATTTACAGCCGAAATTGAGTTTGTACGATGAAGAACACATGTAGAATGAAGAACACGTATAGATGCAAAGGATATCGAGGTATCCTTAGTATCAGTGAGAACCAATGAGCTTTTGTAAGAAAAGAGAGAGAGAGAGAGAGAGAGAGATATTATTACGCTTTGTAGAATTGTGGGAGCAACATCAGTCCCTTACAAGGTAGGGTGAGTCTCCTTTTTATAGGAGAGGAGACTTAGTAACGAATACATGTATATCTAACTTTCGAAATATGGACGTGTTCAGACATCGTGTTCGCTATCAGCAAGATCAGGGACACCAAGTGGCCCAAACCGATACAGACAGACCCTTCGTAGAGAAACTGCCATCAGCTACGAGAGGAGGTGGCTCGACTACTCAACAAAGGACATCTCCAGGAATTTCTCAGCGATCGGGCCAAAAATCAATTCCGGGAGAGGGAGGCGGCCAAGAAAAACGAGGCAAACGAACCACGACATGTCATCCGCATGATCATGGGGGGCGCCGATGCCCCGCAGGAACCGGTAGTGAGAAGAACAAAGACATCCATCACCAGGGAAAAAAGGACTCGGGGATATATCCCAGAAGACGCCCTCACGTTCAGCGAGGAAGACACCGAGGCCCTATCCCAACCCCACAACGACGCCCTGGTAATCTCCTTTCTTATAAATTCATTTCAGATAAAACGGGNAGAGAGAGAGAGAGAGAGAGAGAGAGAGAGAGAGAGAGAGAGAGAGAGAGAGATATTGTTGCACTTTGTAGAATTGTGGGAGCAACATCAGTCACTTACAAGGTAGGGCGAGTCCCCTTTATATAGGAGAGGAAACTCGGAATAGATGTATATTTAATTTACGAAATATGGAGACGTGATGGCCTGACCCGACACCCCATCATAGGCTAGGGATAGGCTGCTCCTGTTAGACTCAACCGCGTGTCTTTGGGGCTTCCCCCTTTTCTCTTTATCTCGGCCTCGAATCGGACCTCGACAAGCCTCGAAGGAGTGGACTAAGTTGTGACTTCATATCATCAGGGTCTTGAGCTATCCTCCCGAGGTGGCTTCATGTTCTCGGGGTCTCGAGGTATCTCCCCGAGACGGCTTGATGGTAGGAAATCGGGCCCTCTGATTTTACCACGTACAAATAAGAATGAACACATCCCGGCAAGGGAAAACCAACTATAACCAAACGTGTTCCAACATCTACTACCTCAACTAACACAAATGCTAAACAACGAATAATCTCTACGAGAATAATTATAAACCCTGCTCAACACAGAGAGTCAACAACTTAGGCATTTGTAGTAGTTCTCAATAACACAATAAATTTCAATTTAAGACTCACGGTCATGCTCGACACCGACGTATAGATACTCGTCACCACACCTATACGTCGTACTCAACACATAACATGTAGCATACAGACCAAACTCCTATTCTCTCAAGCTAAGGTTAGACCAAACAGTTCAAGCCTCAACTATAGCTTTACCTCGTGATTCCACCACCAATTCGCTCGTATCTAGTCACAAGTTACTTAATTACATCAATGAATGCTAAATAAATAATTTGTAATGCATGGAAATAAGTTTTCTAAAGCTTTGCCCAAAAAGTCAAAAATCAGCCCCGGGCCCACATGGTCAAAACCCGAGGTTCAAACCAAAACCCGACCACCCGTTCACCCATGAACTCAACTATATAATTTGTTTTGAAATCGGACCTCAAATCGAGGTCCAAATCCCCATTTTTTGAAAAACCTAGGTTCTACCCAAAACACCCAATTTTCCCCATGGAAATCATTGATTTTGAGTTAAAATCATGTTAAAAGATGTTAATGATTGAAGGAAACTAGTAAAATTAACTTACAATCGATTTGGAAGAAGAGCTGTTCTTGGAAAATCGCCCTAGTGAGTTTTTGTTTTGAAAAGATGTGAAAAAGGTTTGTTTTTCGGCTAAGTATAAAAAGTTGCAGGCTGCAGTTGTGGGAATTGCGAAGGGAGGTTGGGAAATGTGAATTGGGAATTGCGAAGGGAGGTTGGGAAATCCGAACTGGGAATTGCGAAGGGAGGTTGGCAAATGCGAAGCCTGCAGGCCTGCAATTCCTTAAGTCCAAAATTTTACCCCGTGGCCTATCCAAAACTCACCCGAGCCCTCGGGGCTCCAAACCAAACATGCACACCACCCTAAAAATATCATACGGACTCGCTCGTGCATTCAAATCACTAAAATAACATCAACAACTATGAATTTAGCATCAAAATCATGAAACTTTCTCAAGACTTCAAATTTCTAATTTTCTCAATAACTATCTGATTCATGTCGTTTCAAGTCTGTTTCTTACCAAATTTTACCGACAACACATATAAATCATATTGAACCTGTACCGGGCTCTTGAACCATAATACGGGCCCGATACCACAGGTTTCACATAACATTTCACTTTCAAAAACCTTTATATTTTTCAGAAAATAATTTCTTTCAAAAATTCATTTCTCGGGCTTGGGACCTCGGAATTCGATTCCGGTCATATGCCCAAGTTCCATATTTTCCTACGGACATTCCGGGACCGTCAAATCACGGGTCCGGGACCGTTTACCCAAAATATTGACCGAAGTCAACTTAATTCATTTTAAAGCCAAATTTTATTATTTTTCACAGATTTTTACATATAGACTTCCGGCTACACGCCCGGACTTCGCACGCAAATTGAGGTGATGCTGAAAGAGGTTTTTTAAGGCCTCGAAACACAAAATTTAATTTAAAAATAAGTGATGACCTTTTGGGTCATAACAGAAATAGATGACTATGGGTTAGCTCGGGTGTACTTCAATAAATTATGCAGTACAGATGATTCTTTTGTGTTGGCATCTCAAGTTTATCAAGTTTTTTATGTGGAAGATCCAATTGAGAAAGATGTTTATTATGCAAGGAAAAAGGTCCCTATTGATTTGTATGATCTAGAGGAAGGAAATTGTCCCAACATAGAAGACATATTTTGGAGGGAACCTAAAGATGACATTGGTTCCTCAAGTGGATTACTTGATGTTGATGTTACATGATTAAAAGAAGATGTACCTGTTGATGTCGTAGATATTCCATCATATGCATAATGTTCACAAGATACAAATATAGAAATATCAAAAGAAGAGGAAGATGAAAATGCGTTTGATGATACTAATTGGGATTGGATGGAGCCGGATGACTAAAAAAAAGATATTTTGAACTTTTAAATATATTACTGATTGTTGTTTTAATATTTTTTGAGTGAGTGATAAATTCCCTTTTACAAAATATTTTATGATTATTCTTGTTTATACTTTTTGCAATTAATTTTTATTTGCTTTTTGTAGAATTTAATTCTGAATTGTGATCCATTTTACAGGATTTTCAAAAACCAATTTGAAGAAGCTAGTGTATCATTGAGGAGAGTTGCGACTTCACTGTTAACAGATTTGGAACTATTAAAAGGTACGCATTGTTATTATCTTCATTTGTTAAGTCACAAAGTCAGAAAAGAAAAAGATAAAAGTTTTGGTTTTGTTTCCTGAATTCCTTTGGCACGTGTTTATTATCTTATACTTGTTTTGAAGATTATCCTCTTCGGAGATATTGAACTGCTTCCTTGTATCACTGCTGAATTTAGTGTCCATTGCTACTTGGTTTAAATTAATATTTTGGACTGAAAACTTGTATTGCTTGCTGCTACCATTGAACTATAAAGGAGATGTCAATTTTATGAGTTGAAGGTCTGTTTGGTAGCTGTTGATTTGTTCAGTTTTTGCACCAATTTGTATCATCTTTCTTCCCTTTTATCTGCTGAAGATCTGGCAGCATTTTGAATAGTTCCAGCACTGAATTACTGCTGCAAAAGCTGCTATTTGGCCTGCATTTTTTTTTTTGCACCAGTTGTGCATTACTGTTTTACTAAACTGAAGTTGTTTTGGTGACTTTGCGGAGTTTTATGTTGCAACATAGAATCTGCATTGCTTCTACACTCTATGAACTGCCAAAACTATGCTATATTTGAGCCACTATTCTAGACTGTTCAACTTCAAGTTTTTGCACTAGTAACACACCTGTTTTGCATCAGTTTTGGATAATATTGGGGTTACAATTGAGCTGAAAATCTGCAATATTAAGAACAATATCTGCACTTGAAGAATCAGTTGAGAAGTTGGCTGAGTTCTATTTTTAAAGGTTGTTCAGCTTTGGTCTGATGTTGAATTTTGAAATTTCTTTGCGAGCTTGTAAACCTAGTGAAGATTGTCGAGTAAGCGTAGACAGAATTTAGCTTATGTTTTTTTTCCTTAACATCTGAGAGTGAGATTGCTGCATTTTCAATGAAGTTTTGCAACCTTGACATTGTTGCACTAGATTCCAGCTTCAATATCTTTTGAGCAGTTTAATTTTGGAATTCAGCTGGTTATTGAAGATCTGCAACTGTGAAGGCATAGTTTTGAGCAGTAAATTAAGCTGAAAACTGCAGTATTGTGACAGCAAAACCTGCACCAGTTAGTCCCCAAGTAGCAACAGTTTTGGAGCAAAAATTTGAAGGCCTGCATAGTTAAAAAGATCTGCAGAATGTTGGACAGTTGAACCTGCAGTTGCTGCACAGTTTGAGTTATATTTTTTAACAGATGTGAACCAATTTGTTGCACAAGTTTCTGCATTTCTTTGTTGTTGTTGACTGTCTTTTGTAGTCTACAACTTCTGGCCAGCTTTGAGATAAAAAAGAGCAGCATCTAAATCTGCAACATCGAAAGAGCAATTGCAGAAACTTAACTGCAGTCTTGACCAGTTAAGCTAGAATTTTTTTCTGATTAGCACCAGTTGCCCAAAAAAGTGCAGCCAGTCCAAAAGATCAAAAGTATAGAAGTTTTTGTCCAGTTTTCCTTTTTGTTTGATCAAAAGTTCAGAAGTTTTTAATCTTCCTTCTTATTTGATAATTCTGAACTAGTGTAAACTTGATATTAGTACATATTAAGTTTTAACCTAGTTCTTTGTGTGCTTAATTTTGTTTCTTGCAATTTGTTTCGTGCTTTTTTCTGGCCAGTTTTTTCTTTTTTTTTATACTTATGCTAATCTTTTTTTTTCTTAACTTGACAGTTTTGAGATGACTATGAATCAAGAAGTGACTACAAGGAAAAATAAAAAAGAAACAAACTCACAGTATCTTCCAGCTGGATCACTTTCATCGTTGGCAAAAGAAAAGTTTTCGTTGTTGACAACCAAAAGAGCTGTTCCACCTAATTTTTCAAATAGACAACCAAAGCATCCAAGGTTAGGATCTCAAGTACAAAAAACCAGT